CATCAGGAGGCAATATTCTAAAACTGTCAGTGACCCCAGGACACAATATTTCTCTTGTCCAAGTGAGCTAGCTCTCATTTTGAACTCTCATTGTAATGTGGGATTCAATAGAATGCACAGCACATAGCATTCAGATGATGCTCGTCAGCTTTTGGGGGCTGAAGTAGGCAGCAGACTGCATTCCTAGTATGCTCTCACTTAAAATCTGCCTAGAAAGACCAGCACCAATTTTCCAATCCCTTTATCTTGCCTTCCCCTAAAGATTTCAAGACAGTGCTTCAAGTTTTAGTGGAGTCATAAATCACATATTTACCTTCACGCGACTGGTTTTCGAGAGAGCCAGAGTTTTTAAGGTTTGTCTGCCGGATGTATTATGTTACTGAAATATAGAAATGAGTGCTATGTACGCCAGTGGTTAGTAAAACTCAAAGGCGTAACATTATCTTTCTCAATTGATTTGAGGAAAGAATGTTCATAAAATATATACTGCTTTTGGTTAGAGGCTGATTTCTAAATAAACAGGCTCAGCAATGGAAATTATAGAGACAGGCAAAACAAAACATGCATTAGTAAATGTACACTTTAAAATCAACTCTCTCACAATCTTCACCTTTCGCAAGCTTTTTGAGGATTGTAAAGTCAGTTGCATTAAATTTATGATTTATAGCTGTTCTAATTTAACTTCTTTTTCAGCTGTTGAAGGAAAATCTGTTAACTCTTCTGAACTATTTCTCCTCTATTTTACAGGCTCTGATGTTGCATATCTCTGCCTAAGAGAGCATCATTTGAGAGTCAGGGAAGGAGAGAAAGGGGCAAACTTTGCCGCATCAAATCTCCCAGTCATTTTGGGCCCTAACAAAATAGAAAGGCTGGCGATTAGGGGATTGCATTGCCTCCAATAAAACAAAACAAAACAAATAACAAGTGCTAATCCACACCAAGTAGAGCCAAACTAAGTGGGGCTATCTTTCCTAATTTGCAATGAACTGGGGTCAACTAGATTTATATCTCAAATACAAACTGGGAAGGAGAAAACAACAAGAAAGGAAACGCCACAACTTGGTTAGATCCTGCTTTTCACACAAGATTATATGACCGATAGCTACACAGGATGCTTCCAGAAGATTACAAGGCCAAAAATAAGCAAGGAAATATGGCTGGCCCAATGTTCACATTTATTTCTAAAAGAATAGTGCAATCTGATGCACAGCTGCACTACACCAATACAAATATTAAAATTGCATCCATATTTTCCGTTTAAAATTAGAAAATAAGATAGCTTTAATTTTATTGTCAGGATTACGGTTTGATCAGAAACCACCTGCACACGTCATTTTTATTCATTCAACAGTTTACTGAATGGCTTACCACAGGCTGATTGAAGGATAAAGATACCATCCCTGCCTTCAATTAGCTTATATTCTACTTGGGGAAAAAATCCATACATGTGAAATATTTGGTAACATTTCAGTACGAAACTAAGAGAAGGCAGCAGATAATTAACAAATGAATAACAGGAAATATGAGGGGAAAAATGGTCTCTGTGGGCTGACAATATGCTTCGGGGTGCAGGTGTTTGAATTAGAAAACAGATGAGTTCTGTCACTTACTGTAATTCCACAAAGCAGTAACATGTTTAACTTCAAGCCTCAATTTCATCATCAGTAAAATGGGAATGATGACAATCTCTGCCCCAGAAGGTTATTATAAGTAATTGATACATTGTATGTGAAGAGATTGTGTATTCTTTAAAAAAGCCATAAGTGGCCATTGAGAAGCTGGTAAAAAGAATCCCACAAAACTGCTACCATTAATTTGGGAAAGCAGAAAGGTTAGGAGGTTAGAAGGGAAGATGGTTAACTTTTTCTTTACATACTTTCTATTGTCTGAATTTTTATAGTGCCCGTGGCACTAATTTTGTAACAAAAAAATTAAAGCTATATAAATACTATCTGAAATCGAGCGCATAAATACTACCTGTGATGCCATATCTGGATGTCACAAAATACTCTATTGTAAATGCTAGTAACCCTGTTTCTCTGTAAGTACACAGAAACAAGACAGTACTGGTTTCAATTTGAGAATTTCTAAAGCCATAAAAAGTTGCCAAGCTTGGGAATGATAACCAACTGAAATCGTGTTTCCTTTCAGGACATTTTAAGATAGAACAAATTTTATAGTCACCCCAAACTATCCACTGATTCAAACAATCACTTTGGTCAATGTGCTTTGAAATAGCAAGTTAAATAACATTAATTCTCAGAGGCGAGACTTCATTGTATGTAACTCTGCTTTCTGGAGCCCATCACATTTCAGGTATTTAACTGACAACTTTACAGACATAGAAAAACTCCTCAGGCCATTTCCAAATGAATACCAACAGACTCCACAGATGCACGAAAGATTTTTTTAGACTGAGTTTGATAATATATACATATATATGTTCTGGAAAGGAATAGATTAGCATTCTTAACATTATAAGTAAGTGCGAGCTCCTTGAGGGCAGGAATCATATCTTCTTCATCTTTATATGCCCAGTCCCTGGCACTGTGACAAGCATATGAGTAGGCAGTAATATATATCTGCTGAGCTACTGAAGGAAAGAGAACTTAAAGCATTTTATTCAACTGGAAGGCAATGAGACAGGCACATATGCGATGAAGGACAAGACCTGTACAGTTGTAATCTGTAGGAAATCATTTAAAATGCTTCAAAATTTGTGAAAATTATTATAAATTTGAGTTCCTTGAATAAAACTTTATAAAATCCCCTATTCGAGAAAGGATCTCTCTTATATTTGAGAAACTATAGATGTGTGAACTAAGATGGAATCATGGAGCAGTATGATCAGAACCACCTTTCCTCTGTCTTACCCAACATTTCCAAGGCATGTTTCATCAATATAAATAGAAGAAGGCAAAGGAAGAGGCTTTCCCTATTTGTGGCAGAAACAAGCCCACACCTGGAATGCTGGATTCCTGGCTGACTATTGTCCCACTGGCTCATGACCCCTCTATGATGATCTGTGAATAAACATATAGACACTGAAAAAGGACAGGGGTGATATCCACATGTAATAAGACTATTAGATTGTAGGTAGCCACACTTCCCTATTTCCAGTATTCTACAAGCAGTGATGTGGGAAGAGGAGTTGAGGCATCCTGGGCTTGCTCAAGCACTACAGGAGAAGCCCTGGAGACACCAGTGTGAAAGCACAAGTACATTAAGAGCTTAAATCCCTCTATGAATGGCTTACCCAATGCTAATCTCTTTGTTCCATCCTAACCGGCTGGGTAATTCCTTTTTATTGTATTTAATCTTCCTTGCTAGGTGACCAGTGCTTGTCAGAACTTTAGACTCCATTAATGGTATGTTAATTCAAGAGAAGACATGTCATAATAAGTGAGGGCTTTAAGGCAGTTCTCTCTAACTTGAAGCTTCTTGAAATAATTCAACCCAATCTATTTAAAAGAGGTAGATTTTTCTGCCTCTAAAAAGTATTCCATAAGTCCAGTAGAAATGAATTGCTTTAGTTGTAATTCTTTAAAGATTACTAAGTTTCGTAGTTTGGCTACTCAAATTATATTTGGAAGCTACCTAGGAATTTTCTCACATTTTGATCTCTGGAAGGGCAATTAATCAAGCTCTTGTTTGAGGTGACTCAAACTTTGATCAGAATTCTATGGAGGGAAAGTCACAGGGCTATATACTCAGAATATTCAACAGTATATCTAATTGAAAACAGCAACAACAGGAAAAGAGAAGTAGATGCCAGTGGGCTGATACGTTATAACCTTTGGTCAAGCGGTACTTGGCAAATTTCAGCAGACTTAGTTAACCAGAGATAAAACTGAGCAGTAGAATACCATTAAAATAAAACAAAAGTATTAACACCGAATCAAGAATTCCCAGTGAAGGAGAATGCTGTACCTAAGAGGATGGATCTACCAGAGGCAATTTGTTAGGAGACTGAAGTTGTTATTTCATAGCGGAGGTTTGAAATCAAAACTTTAAAGTTTCTTTAGGTCGAACTATATAGCACGGCATTCAGAGAGCTAGCCAAAATCGCTGAGGGAAACGAGGAAGGCCACATGTGGAACTAATTACTCATGTAGAGGCCATGACAAAGAACATTTCTCCAGACTTTTCATGGGGGCTTCACTTTCAGGAAGTTGCTATAATTACTGTTCAAGTCTAGAGCAGCCTGCAAGCCGCTGACAGATCCAACAGACCAGGAGGAGGAGGAGGGAGAGAGAGAGAAAAAAAATGAACTTATCTGCCCTTTTTGACGAGTCAAATACCAGAAAATAAAGTGCCACAGGGAAACTCAAAAAAGTTTGCAACTGAGCCCTCCTTTCCAGTGTTCAACTTTCTGTTTACTTTTTTTCTTTTTTTTCTTTTTATCTACCCTCTATCTTCAGCAAATTACTTTTCTAGCCTGGATCGGACAGCAGAATTGTACTTCTCCACTAGCTCACTTTCAGTTGGCCACAGCAGAACTGTACATCTCGACTCTTTTTTTACAGCTTTTCCATACTGAGGCCCACTTCCTGCCCAGTTGAGGAAAAAAATCTGGCCTGAAGATGAAATGACTGCTTAACATTACACTAAAACATCTGGTACCATTTTATGCACAGACCCATGTCTGAGAGCAGGCGATTCGAGAGGTCTCTCCAGCGGCACCGCGCATACCCAAACCTCCCCAGGGTGACATCATCCCATATATGGACTCTCCAGCCCAGCCCTCCCCCTTTTCCTGGTCCTAAATTCATTGCCAGTTCCCCAGTCTGCAGCAAATGTGCCACGTCAAGACTGGAAATCACAGCCCTTGAGTGTGTCTCAGTCAGTGCAGCAGAATTCAGGGGGGATAACCGAATGCAACCCCTGGTGCAGGAAGGGAGGCTTTTCCCAAAGACCAGGACAGGATTTTAAGTACACAGATGGAAGCTTCTGGAGATCCTGCTCCGTCGCCCCAGTGTTCAGACTACCTGTTCAGGACAATGCCGTTGTACAGTAGTCTGCACATTGGTTAGACTGGGCAGGGGAGCTCAACACCACGGACGACTGGGGACAGAAGTTGCTGTTTCCACGGAGAAGACTTATGTTTGCTTTTTCAAATCTCACACCCAGTGTTTTTCTTCACAGGTTTTGCACACTAGGGACCAGGAAGCCCTCCGGGACACCGCTGAGAAAGAACTGCTGGAAAGAAGACCTGTGGGTAAGGCCTCCTTGACTGCTCACCTGGTCTGTGCCCAGGAGAGCCGAGGTGGGGAGCCAATGATTTGTGTTCACATGCGAGGGAAACAGAGGTATATGTGTGATGGATAGCGATGCATTGAGTTTTGAAAGAGTAACAATGTGTCGTAAATAGCGATTTGCTGTATGTTAGTCGGTTTCTGAAGATCTAGAAGTCAAGTTTTTTTTTTAAGTTTAAAGTTTTTCCCACTTGAAAAGGAAATATGAAGACTCCAAACACTTAAGAATAACTTAATAAGGCTAGTTTTTAATTGTTGAAATTAATAATACAAAGACCTAAAAACTCACTTGAATACGGCTGTAGTAGAATTTTTAACTTCCCGGGATTGAATCCATTTTGCTTCAAAGTAAAGAATATTGGCTATTTTTACAATGCTATCTGAATAGTGATTTTTTTGAAAATTTATGTACATGATACACATCCCAGGAATAGTAATATCTAACAATAAAAGAAGGGGCAGCCAAGTTTTTGCCCACCAGACAATGCAAATGGGACTGACCCAGAAAAGAGCGCCAACCCAGAACTCAGTGAGTCAGCAACTGATTAAGTGCAGAATAGAAGAAACCTCTGTCTTCAGATATCCCAACATATATCTGTGTCACATTTGTTTTAAATCCAAAAATGGTTGATAATTACTGGTCAGCTGAGACCTCATGCCTATATTTTACAATGCTTCTATTTCTCTGAGCGTTTAAAATGATAAGGTACTTTGTCTAGAAACCCACTGATAAAAAAGGAATTTGTATACGAAGGCAAAGTTTTCTTTGGTCAGTTTCCAGCTGTCCTGGAGGTGAAGGGGGATGGGTGGGGAAGGGGGGAGGGAGGAAAACCCTTAAGCTGAATGAAATCCCAATAGAGAGAATAATAGAGAAAGTCTGGGTTGCAATATGATCTTTGCTGAACTTGAAAGGTGGATCTCTTAAAGAAAGTTCTGGAAAAATGTTACTGCCTCACCCCTAATTCCCTCAACCCCCATGTATATCTACCCCCAAACCATTCTATATAATGAAAACATCTGTTCTATAGGTTTATGAAAAAGTGGATGTGATCCCTTTTGTCTTCCTTTAAATTTTTTAAAATTACAGTGACTCCTGAATAAATCCTTTTCTAAATTACACATTTTGCAACAGTTCAAAATTATCACAAGTTCTCTTTTGCGACACATTTTATTAAAAAAGATTCCCGAAGTTATCTTTTGTCAAAACAATTTACTTTTTAAAATGACCTTTTGATCATCCCAAAACTGATATTACCTTTTATTCATGGTTTTTAGTTAAAATATAAAAAACATGAATAAATTTAGTTATCCTTTCCACCGAGATGATATAGGGAAGTCTTCCTTTGTTTTTTCTATTGTGACTTGGAAGCTTCCATACTATTTTTAACAGAACAAGACATATTTAAAACCTATACACCTTCCTTTACATAAAAAAATGAAAAAAAAACTATTAGGTAATTACAGAAGCTTATTTTCTCAAGAAATATATTTTTACTAATTGAAGCAGTTACTAAAGAAGAAAGATAGTTATGAGGGGCTTTGGTTTTTGTTTTTGTTTACTCTGTAGAAATGACAAAACTTCATAACTTGCTTTCATCTCATGTATATTTAATTTAAATGTCTGTCTTCATATTAAATCGCTTTTTTGTTTCTAAGAAACTAACCACCATTGGTCACCCACCGAATTTCTCCCTAGGATGACTTTTAGTCTGGAGACAGAGGGGACTCAATTGTGTCCTTGCATAAATACAGGAATAGGAACATAAGAATTAATTTGTAAGGGGGTAGCCAAGGAGTGCCTGCAAGTGCTTGGTGGAGTCCTGAAAACCCATTTTTGATGCAAACTTTTAACAAACGAAAAGGAATCGTACTTCATTTTAAATTGCATGAGCTAAATTAAAGATCAAAAGCAAAAGCTCACTTTACTCCTGCTGACTGAAGGCAAAGACGATAGTTTATCCAGTGGTATATATACCAGCATGTATACACACATACCGTAAAATAACCGTATCTATTTCCAGGGTAATTAGAACAATGTTTAACTTTATTTTGGTATTACTTTATAAGGAGATATACAAATATTTTAGAGGTCATGGGATCTATTCCAGAGGAAACTAACCAACAGTGACATCTTCAAGTAAAACTACCCCTCGATATGATGGTAAGTATTAAAATTAAACATTGTACATTGTCAGAAAGAGAAAAATGTTTCCAGGGCCTGTCCAAACTGCAGTTCATAGACCCTGAGTAGTTATTTTTCATTTTAGTATGTGGTTGACTGGTAAGTTAGGCTAGGTACTGGGTTAAAAGGAAAACTTTTTCTATCATCTAAGAGAAAGAAAATTCAGGGCCTTAGCCTCAATACCATCAATTCTTAATTGAAAGAGGATCCATATAAAACAGTTTATATTTTCAAACCTCACTCCTTTTTTCCCCTTTTTAAAGTCACAGATCTCTAAATCAAAGAAAGTTTGTTTACAATGGGACAAAATTTCACACTGATCATTTTCTCCCAATTAGTCAATAGGTTTCACATCCTTCCTGCTTGGCATTTCTGTCTTTCGGCCCAGATAACATGTTTATGTTTTTAAAAGACCAAAATATATGGTCTACCCCCACCTCTCGCCTTACAGACCACCCAAGTTTTTCTGGCCATGGGAAGAAATTTAGGCATAAAACTTCTAATGAAAGAATTTTTCCTTTTTTTTTTTAAGGAAATTAAAAAAAAAAAACTTGATAATGAAAAAAAGTTCACTCAGCCACCAGTGTCCATCCTTACTAAAGAGAAGCCAAAGCTTTCAGTTACTCTACAAGACATTTTCTCTATAAAAACAACCATTTTCCTCTTTTCTAAGGAGAATATCCTACCCACCACAATAATGTCCAAATAATAACTAAGCGACCATCACTCAGAAATCCCAACTTAAGATAACTAGAAGGTCAGGTTTTAACCTGAGAGGAGACAGGAAACTGTCTTCAGTGAAGACAGAAACTTTCTTGGTTTCTTCTCTTTTTACCTTAGTGTGTTGCAAATTATTTGGATAGAAATATTTATTCATTTTTGAAAGCTTTCTTGTTAAAAAGTTTTATCGGTTTTAATAAATAGAGATAATGAAGTAAATTAAGTAAAATAATTAAATATTCATTTTTAATTTCCTGACCTATCGTGACAGCCAGTTTCCTGAAATTGCTGTGGTTTAGTTTTGCTATAAAAGACTTAGAAGATAATTCTTTCATTGGATTTTTTCCTTAAGATAATAAATACAAGACAAAAGAAAATAAGGTGTAATAACTATATTAAAATTACATGTTATGATAATAATGTAAATAGCTCTGATATTTCAGCTAGTATTTCAAGTTATAATGAATTGATATTCATTCTATTTAGAAGATTGAAAAAAAGTCTTAAATTTTTTTTAGCCTTTCATCATTTCTAACAAGATTAAAGACAGGTTCAATAGCACTATGAAGTGTGTGCATGTCACATAGTATAATTACAGTTTAAAAATCTATTAGAAACATAAATTATCCAAAAATCTTATGAATAGAGTAGACATTTTTCAGAAAGATTTTTTTTCTTCCTGAAAAAAAGTTATGGTTTTTCAGGTTCAGATATTTTTGGATATCTTGGTTTAATAGAACTGTTTCATATTAAAATATAACATATAAACTCATAAATATTTCTTTCTATTTTTTCAGGTTGCATGCATCATTCCTTTAATTGAGCAGAGTTAACTGGATCAAATTATTTATGGGAGAGAGAGGGAAAGCTATACTGAATTACAGTAATTTTTAATTTCCACCAATATACTCTTTGTAAGTGAATCACTCTAAATATTTTCTGTTACGCTGAATACAGCAAAAATAACAAAATAGTTTCTCAAGGTATTTGTTTTTGCATACCCTGACCTTGTAATTATCTAAATAGCAGCCAAATTTACTGATGTTTTGGAGTTTGTCAGGAAAAAAAAAAAAAGATTTTTTTTCTGTTTGTCAGAAACAGAATCAGACATTTATTTTCTTGAAATCAAATAAATTGGAAATTTCACTTATCAACTCTTTGTTAAAATTGTACCATATCTAATTAATGCTTAAAAGTTCAGATGTGTAGAAACTGTAATTTTTTCAGTCTCTAAAAACATTTGCCTCTCCGTAAAGTTTCTACTTGCTAATTTCTCAGAATTTTATAATTAAAGGGAAATAACAAACTATGTGTTTTCCTTAAAATTCTTTGAAAAAAATTCTGAAGTACATACTCCTTGGACGATAACGTTTTATTTTGATTTTGAAGAAATCCCACTTATTGGAATTTTGACTCTCTAAATATTTTGGTTTTTAAAGGGTAAGGGAACTTGTGAATTGATTATTTATATTAAAATAGCCAATAGAATTATTCTTGAGTCATCAGAATTAAATTTACTGCATATTTAACACCATTAGCTCTTTCTTATACAAATTATAAGAAAATTTCCCAAAGGATCTGGTTTTACTTTTTTGGATATGAAATGAAGTTTCCCTTTTCTGTGTTTAAGGTACTATTTTGTACCTGTATCCTACTACCAATGTCCAAAACACATTCTGAGCATCACTGTGTGTAACAACTTTTAGTTTATACCCTTTTGATTCATGGCATGGTGCTGTAGTTAATTAGGAGAAGAAGCACTTAAGCTCACAACTGCTTTTTATTTGGTTTTCACATCCATACTTAAAAACTTTACATTAAAAAGAATATGAGAAATTTAAATAAGTTCCTGTTGCTTTATGGAGTACTGGCAAAAATACATTCCCTTGTAAAATCCCACTCTTAAAGCATCAGATACCAAAGTTGGCTGGTTGAACTGCCAGATACATTAGGCTCATTAATTATTTTGAAAATGGCTGCCATTTCCATGTAAGTGACAAGTTTCTTTTTCATGGGCTATGGTACTTATCTACTACAAGAAACATGTATAAACAGAGTCTTTATCTTTAACTTCAGTATTAAAATATGCAGACTTTTTGTGAAGAGGAAAAACATCTGGTTCAATTACTCTGAACTCTGACTGCATGTGGGCCAGTAATAATAATATGAATTGGATTTAAGAATAAACCTTATATTTAATCTTTTGTTTTGTTTTTCCTTAAAATTTCGATGTGAGTTTTCTGTTACATCAATTTTCCATGTTAGCACATTTGGAACAAATGTAAAAGTGTACATTCTGAATAAAGTCAAAAGTCTAACTTGTTTTAGTTCCATAATGTTGTAATGTTTAATTCTATTGTGTGTTTTTCTCCCTTTCCCCTGACCCTCCAAAATCACCAAATCTGGAAAACAGACTGATTGTATCTGCCCATGAGCAAAGGAAACCCGAAGGAACCAAGGGCCTGGCTGGACGGAGTTGTCATGTGACTGCCTGTCTACACTTGCTGTGCAGAACATCCGCTCACCTGTACAGCAGGCACAGACAGGCAGTCACACGACAACCCAGCCTGAATGACAACCAGCCATTGAAAAGAAAGCAGCCCTCACACCATAGCATCTACACCAAGAGCTACAACCAAAATGAGGGGCGCGGGGGCCTGGGGTTTTAATCTGTTGGTTTAATACTTAATTCGTATGTATTATTATATTTTGATTCGAATATTGAAACCCACCCAAAGTAAAGTGAGTGGTCTATGAAATATAATAAAACCCATTTCTGAAAATGTTCCTGTGCTTTCTATAGTTCTCTTTTCCTAACTGTTGTCAGTCAATTACTAACCTTGACATTTATTGTACACAGCTTTGCAGCACCCCATAATCAATATGACAAAACAATATAACTTCAGTCTAATGCTCAACAGAGAGGAAATGATTCTAATAATCCTACTCCAAAAACTAAGTTTAGTTTTCTATGTCATGACTTTTTAAGAGAGAGGAGGAGGAAAGAAAAAGAAGAAAAAGGAAGAGCGAATGTTCCAGGGGATCATGTATTTTGAGTTAATAAACTACCAGTTTGGGTCTGGGCAAAACACAATGAAAAGAATATTTCTAACATCATGTTCATAAAATAGTTGCTTCTCTGCTGATATAGAGAAAATTTAAATTGGAGCTCTGATATTCCCAAGTGTCATGGCACATAAAGATTTATTACTGTGTCCTTGTTTAATTAAGAAGGAGATTACACTACAGTTAGAAAGGTGGAATTTACCAGACCAATGCATTCACTTGCAGTACATGCTCCCATTCACTGTAAACTCTGAAACTCTTGAGATATTCAGGCAATTAAACTATTTTCGGAAAGAGCAAGGAAAGGGATTAGTGGTAATGCAATATTTTACCATATCTTTTGAGAAAATGTCAAAACTTCAGTTTATATACTGTGAACTGGAGTGAAATGATCAGGGTTGTCTTATGTCTGTGAATGTTTCAAACACTGCTGGGCAACAAGGTGGGAGATAGATAAAATTAGAAAATTGTTAACTTTGATTTGGTTCACTAAAATGTTTTTAACTGGAGTATTTAAAATTAATTTCATTTTTGTTAGACTCTGGTCAAACTTTTTAAAATGTAGCACAAGGCTACATAAAATTGTTTAAAAATTCAACTAAATATTTCATGTATATATTTTAGTCTAAAAACTTTTTATTCAGCTATTCCATTTTTAAAATAAAAGACTTAGTCTTAAGGCTAAAAACCCACGAGGTTAAAAATTTACAGGATTTTGTGCTATTTTACTAGACATGACACTGTAGATTCTTTAAAAAGTGAAAAAAGTAGGCAAAACTATGAAGCAAAAATAAAATTAAGGCTAAATTCTTGCATTTAATAATCTGGCCTTAGGAAATAGGTCATCTGCAAAATATACTTCTGCTAAACACATTGAGCAATGAAGGTTTTTACCTTATATAAAAGTCCTATTACTAGCAAATAAAGTACTAAAGAATAGTTCACAAAATGTAAAATATAAACAGGAAGATGACAGAAAACTGTCTTACAAAATATTTACACATTACTGCTCAATTTGAAGTGTTTGATATGACCGGCAGCAAATGGCAAGAGGAGTCTACATCTGGGAGACTCCCCTGGATCCTTTGCAAGGCAGTTCCAGGACAGTGCTTGGGACCTCTCCAGATGACACGATAGCAGGTCAGAACATAAAGAAGACTGTTCAATTCCAGCAAACTCCAAAGGGAAAGCTAGACGGCCAGTGGAGTCATCCTTAAGTGAGCCACTACAGGACAACGTTGCAAGTAATAGTCCCTTAAAATTTGAGGTTTTACATTTCAGGCTTTCCAAAAAATGCCTGAAGGAAGGAAAGAATGTTATATTTATTTAAATTCATTAAATGAAGCACGTTTAAAAATTTTACTCTTCTAGTAAAGAGTAATATCGTTCTTCTAGAATAAACTTTTGAGTGGGATAAAAAATACATTTAGGAGAGTGTGTTTGGGTCTATTAAATATATTTAATAAATTAGAAATAGCATTTGCCATTATATGTTGTTGTGTATATTATAAATCTTTGGATAATGCCAAAGTGTGGAAATGTTTGTATGAAATGGATCCTACATTAAAAAGCATATTTTACATATGTGAAAAAGCACAACTAAAATCATGAAGAATTTTAAGTAACATAAATGTTTTAAAGTTCAATATTTATTGGGACTTCTTTTTTGGGGAAAAATATCTAAGTTTTAGCTAACTAAAACAACTCAACAAAGAATATGACTAGTGTTCACAGGGTTAATCCTGACCTCCTCATCACAGGGATCATGCAGATGTAGAGGAAACAGGCAGAATCTTGAATGTCTAAGTGAAAATGGAAATAGCTGAAGATTTCTATGACTTCTTGGTCTCACAACTTTCGCCATCCAGGTATATAGCTGTCATTTTGTTTTCTATTACCTAAGTTACATTTGTCATCTGTTACAGCTACATAATAAAAACAATACTAAATAATGATCCCTATAAAGGAATTGTATAATCTCTTTATCAAGCTATCCAAATACTTCAACCCACAAAAGTGAGGCCTGTAATTGTTTTAGGAGTCCAAAGAATGTTCTTTTTTCAATGCAGATTTTGGGTTTTCTTCAATAGTATAAGGTTAACACATTTTCTTTTTTTTTTTTTTTTAATGTTTTATTTATTTCTAGGAGAGAGAGAGACAGCATGAGCAGGGGAGGGTCAGAGAGAGGGGGAGTCACAGACTGAAACAGGCTCCAGGCTCTGAGCTGGCAGTCAGCACAGAGCCCGACGCGGGGCTCNTAATTTGAAAGCAGAAAGTCTGAAACCCCCGACATTGTTCTCTCTCTCTCTTTTTTTTTTTAATATTTTATTTATTTCTAGGAGAGAGAGAGAGAGAGAGAGAGACAGCGTGGGCAGGGGAGGGTCAGAGAGAGGGGGAGTCACAGACTGAAACAGGCTCCAGGCTCTGAGCTGGCAGTCAGCACAGAGCCCGACGCGGGGCTCCAACCCACGAACCGCGAGATCATGACCCAAGCGAAAGTCGGACGCTTAACCGACTAAGCCACCCAGGCGCCCCAGGTTAACACATTTTCATTGGGAACACTTCTGTTGAATTACCCTAGCTTCCCCTGAGTATTCCGTTATGATTTTAATCTTCATGTTGGATGATATAAATGGAATAAATATTGGCTATATGCTACTGTTATACATAAACTAGCAATCCCCTTCAGATTTTAATTATCATTCATACATTTCTCATTGATATTAAGAGAAAAATGGCTTTTTTCCCCTTTATCAGAACAGTCTATTCTTCTAAAATTCATATTTTATACATAACTTGTATAAAAGCCATCCTTTTTTCCAAATCTGATTTTAAAGTATTTTTTAATTTTTTTTAACATTTATTTATTTTTGAGAGAGAGAGAGAGAGAGAGTGACTGGGGGAGGGGCAGAGACAGGGGGAGACACAGAGTCTGAAGCAGCCTCCAGGCTTTGAGTGGTCATCACAGAGCCTGACACGGGGCTCATGACCTGAGCCGAAGTTGGACACAACCAACTGAGCCACACAGGTGGCCCTAAAATTAGAATATTAATATAAAACTATCTAAACCCCAAATCCTTTTTGAAATTATACTTTCTATTTAAAATTTTGTTTAATGTTTATTTATTTATTTCAAGAGAGACAGCACAAGCAAGGGAGAGACAGAGAAGAGGAAGAAGGAGAATCCCAAGCAGGCACCATGCTTCCAGTGCAGAGCCCCACACAGGGCTCAAACCCACAAACTGTGAGATCATGACCTGAGCAGAAACCAAGAGCTGGACACTTAACCGACTGAGCCACGCAGATGCCACTTTCTATTTTAATTCTACTCCTAGCCCTTTTCTAAATCATTTCTAAGAATTGTACAAAATATATTTTCAATGTTTTAAACTAACATTGGGAAATTTATTTTTTGCTTAAATGATTTCCATTCAGGAAACTATATAGTCAGAGAAGGGGGAAAAAATCCATTAACCTTCAATGATGAAAATTAAGAAAATTTTAAGACAACCTACCTCAAATTCTAAGTTTACTCTGTAATTAAATAATTTAGTTTAGGTGCCTGAGATAATAGGACATGATGAATTATTAGGTTATGCTAAATAAATATTATTTATTTGCTCAACTGCATCTTCACTCAACCAATATTTACTGTCACCTGCCAGTGCCATGTTCAGTGGTGGTAGAACAGTAAATAAGACAATGGCTCCTGGTCTCAAGGGGCTTACAATTTAGCAGTAACTTAAACACTGAACCAAACACATATCACGTGTGAGGAGTTGTCGATTTTTACCACCTGAAATAATCTCTTAAATCTACCCACTTCTATCAATTTCCATCAACCCACCCCAACCCAAGCTATTATTATCTCTTACATAGTCCATAGCCATACCTTCCTAACAACTCCCCAACCCAGCTTTGTACTCCTCCAATACATTCTCTACAAAGTAACCAAAAGGATCTGTAAAAAAAATCAGATCTTATTATGTGACTCTCCAGCTTAAAAACATCCAAGCCTTCTCATCATTCTCAGGGTCAAAATCCTTAATCTTTATAGAGTTCTTTGCTCCTTTTATTCCAGTCAGTCACACTGGCCTTATTTCAGTTTCTTAAATTTAGCAGGTGCAATCTTGCCTCAAAGCATTAACATCAACCTCTGATCACCTAATTCAATGCCCCCCCCCCAATGTTGTAATCCCCATTGCAGATACCCTTTAAGTCAAACACATCACTAAATTTATTTTCTTCATAGCTTGTAATCTACATCTGATAGGTTTCCATGTTTTGTTTTGTTTATATGTTTTCTTTATTGGTAAATATCCTTCATGAGGGCAGGTACCATGAATTCCTTGCTAACCATTTTATCCTTAGTGACTAAAGGATAGAATCTAGTGCATAATAGGTGTTCAGAAAATGTTTATTAGGAAACTTTCAGGCAATTAAGAACACAGCACCAACATTGAGTAGCTTGCTAAATTACTCATTCTCTTTGTGTTTCAATCTTCATCTCTAAAATGGGGAATATAAATAAAATGCTGACTTAGCTCAGTGCTTGGGACACCATAAGTACACACTAAATGTTAACCATTATAATGATAATGATCATCATCAAGATTATCATTCAGATTGAAAGCTGGCCTTCATGCTTTTAAGCAGGTAGAATAAATAGTGGAATACTAT